TGAGGTATTCTGTTCAGTAAACTTTGCCCTGTTTCTTCTGATATATGTAAATCTGGCACCAGCCTGCTTTTCTAAGACACAAAAGGGCCTTTACTTCAGCTGAAACTCAGCAAGGTGGGCATACATGTAACATAATATATCCTCTTCATATTTAGGGTGCTTTTAGTCTCTTCAAGAAGGTCTTTCACTCATTAAGGAGTTTCTATTATGATAACTTTGAGAGGAGGCTGCCGTCCTCAGCCTTCCCACTGAGTTGAAGTCTCATTATAAATTGTCTCTTTATGTTTCCAAAATGCTGGGTTCCCAAGCTTAGCTCATTAATGAGACAGGAATGTATTTCATAATGGCTGGCTTGTTGCACCAGAACCACACAGAGTAAAAAAGAATGTTGCAGTTTAATTCATTGGTGCTGGAAACACATTTGCACTTCAGCAAGCCTGCTAAAGAGAACTTGATGAAGATTGATTCCAACTCTCCCCCCTCCAAAAATGAAATCCAGTTACTTTTGTTTTTCCTGTGTCTCATCTGTATATCTACGATTTTTAAAAAGTTTCCTTTTGACAAAATACATAGGAATTATTACTTTTTAAAAAAACACCACAATCCAGTGGAACTGAACTTTGTTTGAAGAATATGCTGTTTTTCAAACAGAAGGAAAAAAGAATGCTTTCAGCCACAAAGACCAAATTGCTTCACAGCTAAAACTGGTTCAGCCATAGTCTGCTCCCTGGCGGGAATGGCTAAATCTCTTACTTTAAAGCTAAACAAGATTACTCCAAAAGCTGGCATTCAAATAGCTTTTTGCGTAATGGCATAATAGGTTAGGGGTTCCTACAGTCTCCAGTGCAAAATCAACAATTGAACTCTTTAGGTGCTTAACATTCTAGAAGTTTACTTTAGAATTAGCTTGCCTTTAGAAGGCAAAAGACTGCTAAGTATTTGATTTCCTGACATTAGTTTAACAAAGAAGTCACCATGTCAGCTACAATACCATGAAATGGAATAAGCATTTCCTGTTCTATTCTCTCCACAAGGATCTCTGTCCCCCCACCCCTTCCTTTCACTTGATTGAGGCTACCATTTATCAATTGTTAAGTTTTTGATAGCTTTGTAAGCTGAGGATCTAACGGCTATATTAAGAATGTTAAAATGTTTTGACCTATATAAGAGATTCAGAAGTATATCAAAAGAATTTCATGTCATTTTATAATTTCTTAAGTCTTAAAACAACATGCATTTAACAAATCTTCAGCTTTGAGAGGACTCTTCCTACCCCATGTCCAGCCCATCAAATTATTGTATAACATTTGTGGTAATTTACTGTTGCTTGAAGGTTTTGCACCTTTTAATACTGAGCTTGCTGATAAATGGATTGTCAGATACTCATTACCCATAGCAAGAAAATGGTACTTGCTGCACATAATTTTAATTTGTTCCTTTCATTCTTCTTCTAATAGTGCTCCATTCCAATTTCCACTTAGTATAATACATAGAAAGTTAATGAAAAAGCCAAACTCCAAAGCAGGAGAGTCAGAGAGAGAGAGAGAGAGAGAGAGAGAGAGAGAGAGGGTGAGACCAACACATGTAGTTTACATGATTTATAAGGCTAACCCTTGCTTTTTCTTACACTTGGGGTGGGCACATCATTGCTCCCACATGGGAGAAGTAACATTTCATCTGGGATACCCACTCTCTGGAACTTATCGTACAAGTTTTGTGCCTCAAAAAGGAAGGTGAAATCTCAGTAGCTGAGGCTCCCTGGGAATTTGGCATCAACATGGAAACTTAGATTTCTTTGAAGCTTGTTTTGTGTATGTGTGCCTTTTGAGCTAGGGACGTAAGACTGGCTATTCTAAAAAGCTGCAGTCTGCTATTGGCTTATCCTTTAGCTGCAACCACCATGCATTGTTTAGCTCAGGGTTCTGTCAGTGGTTGAGGAAAAGCCTTTTCCATGGAGAATTCTCACATTTCTCTATGTGTAATATAAATTGCCTTATCCTTACCCTAGATTGTCTCAGGGGAGTAGAAGTGTTCACCAACAATGTGAAATTTATGATTCCATGAATCTGCAGTCATGGGGGCTTCAGGCTGCCGATAATATTAATGTAAAAAAAAATAAGCCAGTAAAAGTTAATCCTAGAAGCAGCAATTTTAAAAAGAGTGCGTTGAGGATAACACTGTTTTACGAGACTGAGACGAATGATAAGCCTCAAAGAAAGGAGCTATGACAAGGCATCATACGCTAAGATGCGGGTTGATCAGCATCTGTAGCAATGCGCTTTCACAAACTGTGCCACGCCAAGAATTCAGAAACTACAAAGGTGGAAGAGATGTTTAAGGAAGGAAATGAACGCACACATCTGTAAATGCATGGAACTCTTCGAGTAGCAAACTGCAGTCCACTAAGACATTGCTTATTCATCTTTGTCGCTGGGAAGCCAAGCACAGACAAAACAGGGGATCCAATGCAGCCATGAGAAAGACACCAAAAAACAAAAGGCCAATCATACAAATTGGCATTGTTCCCAATGGTTTTTGAAAACATTTATTTTTCATGCGAAAAGTTTACTAGACAAAACTTGAATACTGCAGGTAACCAAAGCAGACTGTAGTTCCAATCAGCTTTCTCTCTTTCTTTTCCTATAGGAAATCAAGCACCCCACAGTTGCGTCATAGGCAAATGAATGGGGCAGTGCCGCAATAACTTTCTGGAGTTAAATTTGCTGGTTTGCATGAGATGAGCATCAAATATAAAGAGAGCTAACAGCATGTTCAGGGTACCTTTCTATAGTAAAAGTGCAGACCTATGTGCATATACTTGAAAGTAAATCAGTGTGTTCAGTGGTGCTTACTCCTAGGTAAATTTACATCTGTTAGCAGCCAAAGTCCAAACTTGAGCCAGAGTTAAAAATATATATTATTGGCTTGTAATAAAACCCTGGTCTGTCCCTAGTTAATATGAATAATGCAAATAGTTGCAAGAAGTACACTCTAGATGAGAGAAAAAGCAATGTGGGCTGAAAACCATGCGCAAGTGAGCTACCAGGATCAACATGCTTCCTAACCTACATCCCATTGCTGACTAGGCACCATGGAGCCTAAGATTTGGTCTGTATGGTTCCTAGAGACTGGAAGCAGCCCATCTCCATACCAGGCAGAAGAAAAGGGAGAGCACTATAACATATTATGTTGCCATCAAAATCTATCATGTGGAAACTATTTGCAACTTCCTCTATGCGATGAAAGTAATGTGTAGGCCAGCCGTATGAAACAGTTTATCATGTCATTCCTTCCCTCTTCCTCATCTCCTCAATTCAAACATAAAAAGGGATAAATTCATAGGCAGCAGCACATAAAAAGAGGAAATATAGATAATGCTGACTCAGTTGATGACTGGCAGGTACTTCAGCTGATTGGATTCCAGTTACATCTGGATAACTTTTTCTGTCAATCCCAGAGCCAGCTTGCTATTTATACTACAAATAGAATTCAGTATTGGATGGTTTTCCACTGCTGGATTGTTAAAGCTGCTTAGACCTTCCAGAGGCTTAATTTGGGATTAAATGACATTTTGCTCATAAAATCCATTTAGTTAATTCGCTTGCAAAGTGTGTCCCCTCCTGCAGTTTTAATGTACTACTTATTTTTTCTTCTTCTGTTTGAAATAAAACATGCTTCTTGGCTTTGGGTTTGCTTTAGCAAGGCACTATTAGGTATTAATAATACTGCAAACAAATGAAAGACTTGGCATAATCATTTGAGCACATTTTGTAACTGCTTAACTCTTTTAGCAACATTTGAACATTTCTGCCTCATTTGTACGTTTTCTGTACTACAGAAAATGGCAGACAAGAATCTACTGCTGCTGTAGTCCACCCAAAAGTCTGCAGTATGACCCCAGCGTACAACATCTGCTGTTACAAGGCCTGGTACATGCAGAAGGCAAGTTTGAACACTTGAAGTTTTCTCCTTGGCTTTGCCTGGAAGAAGCAGCAACCGGCATGGCCTGTTCACAAGATCCGGTCAAGTTCTTTCTATTTACCCACCCACTCCATCCTTCTGTGCCCAACTTTAAAATTTGGCTTTGTCCAAAGGTTTAACATGCCATCAGATGCTTAACATAGCCTTTCCCCAATCTTGTGCCCTCCAGAAGTTATTGGATTCAAATTCCCTTAAGCTCCAGCCAGCATGGCAAATGGTCAGGAATTATGGAAGCTTGCAGCCTTTCTTAGCCTTGGGTCCTCAGATGTTTTTGGCCTACAACTCCCATCATCCCTGACCACTGGTCCTGTGAGCTAGGGATCAAGGGAGTTGTAGGCCAAAAACATCTGGGGACCAAGGTTGAGAACCGCTGGAACACATCTGAAAGGCACCAGGTGGTTTAGCACATTTAAAAACCTACTGAACAAAGCAACATATCCATCAAACAAAATATAGCTGTGCTGATATCCTAGTGCCTTCAAAAAGCAGCCCATGTAATAACATCTCTCACCGTTCCTAAAAACTAGCTGCATTTTGGTTTGGAGACTCATTATTTCTACTTTATGGAAGCACAGCTTGCAATGTGTCTCTGTTTTCCTATGCTGTTTGCCCAGGGCACGTAGATATATAATGCTTTTGTTTGAACTTATTGTGAGGGCGTGGTATCTTCCAGAGACCCTGTTTTTCTTGATTGATTATTTTTTTAAAAAAATATTCTAAGCAGTGTACAAAATAGAAGCAACAACAGACAACTTAAAAAAAAATATTACAAAATACACAGTAACATATAAAAATGTTACGTTAATACAAAGTTACTAATATACATATGTAAATAAATATCAGTTCATTCTCTTTTGGACTACCCCCCACTCTCAGCCTCCAAACAAACTCAGCTCATCCACAAAAAATAAGAGTTCAGCAGACATCACCCTAGTCTCTCACTAGAACCATAGCATTATAGAGTTGGAAGGGACCATGATGGTCATCTAGTCTAACTCCCTGCAATGCAGAAATCTTTTTGCCCAATGAGGGGCTCAAACCCATGACCCTGAGATTAAGTGTCTTATGCTCTACTGACTAAGCTATCTAGACTTGCTTTTTATGGGCAGGCACAAGTTGGATGGCACTTCCTCGGGATGCCCACAGCTGTGTCCTATTCAGCTGTACTCTCCACACATCGTTCCAGGTACAGCAAGTTGTTGAGTTTCCCAGGGGGTCCAAAGGATGGGAAACCCCCATGTGCACTCACAGCTTTTTCTCCCCCTTCTGTCCTCTCCTCTTCCTCCAGCAGCTCTATTTATGCTGGAAATGTATAGACGTGATACTAAAACTGTGATCTGATGGCTTTTAAAATATTTTAAGTTTAATTTTGTATAATTTTATTGGCACCTGCAGATTGCTTCTCAGCTCTAAGCATTGTTAGGGTGCGGTTATAAATCTAAAACAAACAAACAACCCCCCCTCCCCCAAATATCTAGGGTATCTTCAACACCCTTTTGATTTATACTTTTTTGTGTACACAAAAATATATATAATATATGAAGACCCCTTAGAATTTATATGATAAAAATGTCAACACGTTACTGAAGAACACATTTTTGAACACCTCTTTAGTATGGATAACAAATGGAGAACGATCCTTGTTGTCCATGGCTCTCTCCACCACCAGATGTCAAGTGGATATTGTATGCAGTCACCTTTAGATGCATGAAGCTGAGGTTGCTGAGAGCTTTAGAAACTATAAAAAACCACTGTGGATACTCTGAACTGCTTTAATAAAGTCCAAGTGACCCAGCTCTTCAGGAAGTGGCTTACCTTCTATAGTCTGTGCAAACAAAACATTCTGAACATTTGTGTAATGCAGCCCAATTTATATTGGTTGAAGGCATTTATGTTCTTTTGAGATGTGTGGAAGGTTATATTTATTTATAAATGTCGACATATACACCTCTTTGTAATGTGAGAATAGTCTTGTGTGTTGTTGAACCTTTTCTTGCTTCGTGCCATGCTTTCAGATCTTCAGAGTGTGCTTCTTTGATGTTTGTTCCTAAAAGGATAAGGAAAGGGCAGAGGGAAATAATGCTTGCCTTCTGGAAACACCATATGTCACTGGATAAATGAGGACTTCACATTGACAAGGGCTACAGTGTGGGATAATCTGCTGCGGAATTTAATTCAGCAGTATTTATGGTAGAGGTGTGCAATTGGAATCTGAGCAAAAGTATTGCATCATGCAATATATGGATTGGTTGGGTTTGGTGAACGTGCAAGACGATTCACTGATTGAAATGCCACACATGATCGCTGTGCTTTTAATCTGATCTTTGGAAGAAAAACCCCTGTGCACATTCGTTTTCTTTCCCAGAGGAAAATTATAGCTGATGAAGGCTTAGAGAATTTATGAGGGTGCCAAAGCATATGGCAGATGGGCTGGATTAGGACTCGGGAGTACAGTAATCCAAATCCTTGTTGCCAAGTATTATAAAGAACTCTGCCTCCTGCTGGGCTCTTCTAAATTTATAGCCTAAAAAGCAAGGGCTGCAGATACCGAAAATAAAAGTACTGTTTATAGAGCTGTTCCCTAAATTAATGTCTGGATAAACAACTCTTTTGGCTTTTCCACTCCAATCATTATCCTACCCTCACTGAAATTTATTACAAAGCACCATGTTATGAGCTACTAAGAGTGGTGATGTGTTTGTAGGTTGTGTTTGGAAATGGTTTGAGATACGCACTGCCCACAATATTAGGTTTGACACTTCATAAAGCAGCTTGTTTTGATGTGAAGGCTGTCTTGATTGAGATCAGTGTCTTCCTGAGTCTGCATCATTCTTTGTCCCATCTCCACCCTGAAATCACCATTGGAGTTTTTTAAGGCTATGACTTCCATTCTTTTTGACAGAAGTGGATGAAATTTGCTTCTTCGGTCCATGTGGCTGGAAACAGTCCCACAAATCTACAATCCTATATTGTGAAGCATCAGGGAAAAGCATATAAAAAAGGGATTCAACCTAAGCATTAGTCATGGGTGCCAACTTAAATTAAAAAAAATTGAGGGGTGGGGGGGGAAGTAAGCCCTGCCCCACATAATCAACCACATGACTTGGCACACATAAACATCATTTAGAAGACATCAGGGGAGTTTTTAATGTGTGACATTTTAATGTATTCTTAATCTTTGTTGGAAGCAGCTCAGAGTGGCTGGGAAAACCCAGCCAGATGGGCGTGGTTCAAATAATAAATTATTGTTGTTGTTGTTGTGTTGTTGTTGTTGTCATTTATTTGAATGGCAATGCCCATTAATTTTGGCAGGGTTCGAGAGCCCTTACGCCTCCTTCCCAAAGCTGGGCAAGTGCTTGCAGAACTTTGGGAAGTAGGTGAGAGGGTTCTAGGACCCTGCCAGAGCCCTCCTGACTCCTTCCCAAAGCCAAGTAAGGCACCCTCCACCTTGTGGGGTCTGGTTCCAGGGGTTCCAGGCTTTCCAGTTTTTGTGTATACACCTGGATCCTCAGAACCAAGCCCTGTATAGCTGAAGGAGCATCTCCACCCCCATCGCCCAGCTCAGACACTGAGACCCAGCTATGGGGGCCTTCTGGCAGTCCCCCCACTGCAAGAAGTGAAGTTACAGGGAACCTGCCCTGTGGAATGCCCTCCCATCAAATGTAAAACAGATAAATAACTATATGACTTTTAGAAGACATCTGAATGCAGCACAGTATTGGGAAGTTTTTAAATGGTTTATGTTTTATTACATTTTTAATATTTTGTTGGGAGCCTCCCAGAGTGACTAGGGCAGCCCAGTCAGATGGGCGGCATAGAAATAATAAAATGATTACTTGTATTGGTTCCAATAGCTCCTTAGTGTGTTCAGAATTCTCTGCCCCCGCTCCCCAAACTCACAACTTTCTGCACTTTCCTGACTTTTAGAAGAGCTTTTGTCAAGTAACATATGCCCTGCTGTTAGGGAAGGCAACTTTGTCACATGCTTCCTGCCACCTTCACGCGTACAATGTTGGACTTGAAACTGCTTCTCTCTAGTTTTGCTACAGTTCTACAGTACGTGCATGCTGGAAAATGTGATATTCCTAGTTTCAGTATTGCATAAAATGGTCAATCACAGATGCACGTGTAACTTTTGCTAGTGCTGGCAGCAGGGTTACCAACGCATCTTTTGAGTTGTGGTTCCTTGGTAATTTTGCTAATTGTACTCTGTATTGATTCCACAAGATATACTGTAGCAGCATATTCTAAAATATGCTGATTGTCAAAGTTTTCTCTTTCACAGTCTTCATTTAAGAATCTTGGGAGAGAAGCAGAAATTCTTAAGCATGGTGTATTTATGCATACTTTGTGGCTCATAACATTATCTTGTGTTATGGTTGGCATGCTGGAGATTATTAGGAAGGCTTCCAATCTAAAACTATGGAAAGCTCAGTGAACACCTAAGCAATATGTAAGCACTGAGGATGATGCCGGGGGGTGGGGGATGCTAAAGCAATTTCTGCAATTTCAGATGCCAGAAAAACCACACGCAGAAACCAAATAATTGACCAAGATATACAGCATGAATATGATGAGCAGTTCAAGCAAATGTCAAGCTATTACTGCCTACCATAAATAAACTAAAGGAATGCTTTAAAGTGCACTTGTTGTAGCTAGTTTGCTCATGTCTTTGACCTTTGGACCCCACATAGCAGCTCAGTATAGCTGAAATTGCTATTTTGAATGGAGCTCCAGATCGTCCCTGGAGGGAAAAAGAAATGGAAGAGAGAGAGAGAGAGAGAGAGAGTGCGCACTATGGGGAGGATTCTGGAGAGAAACAATTTTACCTGTCCTTTGAAAAAAAGTGTATTTGATGTCCAGGCCAAAGCAGAGACTGGAGTTAATGAATGGGAAAGGAGCGACAGATTTTCAGTATGCTGATTGCAACTGTATTATTACAAGTGTGAGTTTAGATTGCTGCTTGTGCAATTGAAATTCTGGTAGCTTCTTTGTGTAAGGCAAAAAGCAGATTAAGCAAAGTGTGATGAAATCACATGGCCATCTCATGCACATGCCAGATGCTCACATGCAGAATCAAATCATGCAAGTGGCATAATTGCACACACACACACACACACCCTGCAAAAAAGGTGCAAGATAAGACAGTATTTCTATTTTTATAACAGTGTAGCTTCTGGCTTACAACAAAACCTTAGTGATGGACAAGCAATTCTATAAAAGCATTTAGACATAATAGATTATACTGGAAAAGCTTGTAGGACTGTATCGTTTCTTTAGGTAAGGTTTTTAAAAGCTCACAGAAGCAACTTCAGAATCCCCAAAACCAAAATATGAATGTAATTTTATTTATTGTTCTTTTTTCCCTTTCAGCGGAAGAATTTACCCCTTCTTTTGAGCATTGGTTTATTGATCTTCTGGGGAGCTTTGCTACTAGGTGTTCGCTTTTATTGGATGGGGAACAAACCTCCCAGCTTTTCCAACTCTGACAACCCAGCAGCTGACTCGGAGAGTTTTCTAACACGAACCTTGACCTTTTTTTACCTGCCAACCAAAAATCTTTGGCTATTGCTGTGCCCGGACACTCTTAGCTTTGATTGGTCCATGGATGCTGTGCCTCTTCTCAAAACAGTCAGTGACTGGAGGAACCTACACACAGTGGCCTTTTATGCTGGACTTCTCCTCCTTGCTTACACTGGTTTGAAAAGCTCCAGCAAAGAGAGAGAATGCAATGGGAAAAACGTAACAAATGGCAAGCAGAACACCAATGGCCATAACTGCCTATCAGAAATGGAGTATAAAAGCTTGGAGTTGAAGCCCAGCTTTGTATCTAAAGAAGAAAACGGCATTAACAAACATTTGCCGCAGAGACCGCAACTCCCTTCAACTGAGAATATTGTAGTTCTGTCTCTGTCCTTATTAATTGTGCCCTTTATTCCGGCCACAAACTTTTTTTTCTATGTAGGCTTTGTGATAGCAGAGCGTGTCTTGTATATACCTAGTATGGGCTTCTGCCTGCTGATCACTGTGGGCACCAGGGCCCTCTACATCAAAGCCCAAAAGCGCTTTCTGAAGAACTTGATTTTTTTTGC